GAAGCTACTACTGTAGCTAGTTTGTAACTAACTCTGTACTTCATTTTTTGCACCATTTGTTCTCACTCCAGAGCATAACTAGAAAGTCACAAGTTCGCTGTAAAGCATAGTCAGATAATACAATTTTTACCTTGATCCAATAGCAGCCTTCAAATGCATGAGCAGAAATTGTATTCTTTTGTACTTTAGTCTCATGTAACTAATGGTAAAATATTTTAATTTCCACTGAAATACAATACTGCTTAATAACACAATAGGTCATAAGAAATTACGTATTATGATTGATTTTATTTGACGTGCACAACACAGACTGATACATGTGAGACGCACTGTTTAGGATGGAATCATGTCAAAGATGCACTAACAATGCAATTTTTTTAAATCAGCCTTTTTATTACTTCTGGTCGGAACCTCCAAAATATTTAGTTTATACACAGTTACGTTTCAAATAAGTGTACCGGTGCAATGCAAAAATATTTAATATTGTTGGCACCGATTGCCTCATGGTTAGTGCGTCGTCATATAGCGCAACTGTGCTCACAGCGACCCGAGTTGGATTCCCGCCTCGAGGTCCTTTGCTGATCCTGCTCCCCTCTCTCCACTCAATACTCTCCTGTCATCTCTCCACTGTCCTCTCAAAAGAAAAGGCACAAAAATATTTTATATTGCTTAAGTTGTAACTAGGGCTGTAAAAAAATATCGAATTTCAAATATTCGTTGAATTAAAAAAAAAAAATCCACATTTGAATGCAAAAACGTTGCATTCGAATTTAAGGTCTGCGTCAGATGTATGTGTCATTGAATGCTTTTGAATGCTTTTGTTAGCCTATCCAGTTGAACCCACTAGATGCGGCGCTGCTACGTTGTTCATTCCTATATTGCGGAAAACGAGAGCATCAGTGTGGAGAAGATGTTGTTTATGTCAAAACTGAAACCAAGCCGTTCACACAGAAAGCATATTTATCACATTTTCTAGAGGGACATCTATCAGCGTTGCACTCGTGTCTCGCAGAGAGCGGCGTGTTTAGAAAGCTATGTAAAATTAATGCAAGTTCAACTTTAAAAAAAAACATGTCTAAAGACGTTATGGTGGTTTCCCCCCATCCCACTGTATCATGTTTTTAAATGAAGAAAGTAGCCTACTCTTTGTGATTGGTTTTCGGTCCTTTGTATTAAACTATACATACATGCATGGCGCTGTTTTTTTTTCTAATTGTTTAAGCAACTTTATTAATTATATATGGTTTATAAACATTATTTAAAGGGGTCATATCATTTTGTGTATTTGGTGTAAGAGAATATGTTGACGTGTTTTAATGTTCAAAAAACAAAGTCCCTCCTTCCGACAAGCGCAGTCTGCTTTGATTGGCCAGCTGACCCAGTGCATTGTGATTGGCCGAACACCGCAAGCACTCGTCAGAAATGTAATGCCCCTCACCATAATCACGAGCTTCATCTTTCAAAATAAATGTAAAGACAGAGCCTGAAAGGGGAACAGAGTCTCGTGACAGAC